CATTTCCCTACAAGGGAAGTAACCTTTTGAAGATGGGCACCAAGGGGCCTCAAGTAAATATCAGAAACATATCAGAAACATTTATTTGAAAACTTTGGAACAAGTCAACATAGGGAACTAGTGTTACAGGAAAGATTTTTTTTTTTAAAAAAAAGTCTTAAATTGGTATTTAAATATACCAGCTGGAAGTTCTCCCTATGCAATTTGCATAGAACAAGATCAAAGGCTTCTTCTCACAAACAGAAGTTGATGGGCGTTCAGCAACGGCTCCTATAGGGATAACCCGTAAGCGAGACCTTTGGCCACGGCCACACCTGGGCTAGGACAGCATCAAAAAGGCACCTGAGTTTGGCAGAAGTGAAACCCCTGAGGCTGGCACCAGAACCTGCTTTCCGCACAGAGGGACCGATTGCAACCCAAGTCCGTTGCCTCGCAGGCCAGTTAGCCCTCATCCGAACACAAACTAGTTTCCTAGGAAATTTTCGGCCCGTAATTTTTGACCAACTGCAGCTCTCCTTCCCATATGACTTAAGTAACATTTCCCACAGAATTCTGGCAACACTTTTAAATCTGATCCCCAAAATGGAGTACTTTCAGATTGTTGGTCCACTTCCTGCAAGTCAAAAAAACTAAAAATTATTTTTCGTAGCACCTCTTGAAAGTCTTAAACTGTTGGCAGATAAAAAAAAAAAAAAGACACATTGAGATAATTAAGACAAGGCATCAGCTTGGATGAAATAAGCAGCTTCCTGAATGAACTCTTCAGAAGGGGCAAAATAAAAAGGCACCTTGTTGGTTGTCAATATCTCCATTTTCCTTTGAGAAGCATAAGAGAGAGAAATGAAGAACAAAACTCCCGGGGCTATTATTGCAAAGAACAGATTGGCACGACGTTCTTGATAGTGATAAAGAATTCAAAGAGAAACAGGGCAGGGCTCCTTTGTTAATCTCCCTTTGCTCCAAAATAATATATATATATATATATATATATATATACTTGGAGTAAGCACCCCGACTCAGGTTGCCCCTGAATGAAAAGTGAAAAGAACAGTTTAGATCAGCTTCCAAGAATATTTCTGCAAAGCCTCTCCAGCCTGATGGGGGCAAAAAGGGGCTGGTCTCATGGTCTCCAGGGAGTTGTGGGATCCTTACAGGGCCTTCCAGTCGATCAGCTGCTTCCCGGATTTCTTCAGGAACTCATTCGTTTTGGAGAAATGCCTACAGCCAAAGAACCCCCTGTGCACCGAGAGGGGCGAGGGATGTGCTGTCTGCAGGACGTGATGCCGTTTCTGCAAGAAGCCAGAGGCGTTAGACTGTCCAGCCCCACAACTGGAGAACCGGAGTGACTTAAAGGCACAGAGTAAAAGGTTAGCAGAGCCCGAAGTATCCCGACTGTCCCGTGGTCAGAATTAAGCAAAGAGATCCTTACAAGCAGGCCACATTTCTACATCTATTGAGTTAGAAGGTGGGTTGACTTTTAAAAATTGAATAGTTTCATTGGCTAGATTCATCCACCGTGCAAAGGTTCGGTTTATTTTAATCCTCATTTGTAGACAAGCTCTCTGGGCTCTCCCACCACCGCGGTAAGGAGCAAAGCACAGATAGGTTCATAATTTACTGCAAGCAAACCGCACGAGGGCTAAGTGTGGGTAGCTCACTCCAATCCCCTTTTAAAGTTGCATGCAAACAGCAGTGCTGTCAGAAGCCAACCTACCCTGTCAATGGAGCTGCCCTTCTTCTGAGCATAAGCTCCCCACAGCATGAAAACCAGGCCGTCCAGGTTCTCGTTCAGCCAGGCGACCACGGCGTCTGTGAGCTGCTCCCAGCCCCTCTCCCGGTGGGAATTGGCTTGATGAGCTCGGACGGTGAGGACAGCATTAAGCAGCAGCACACCTACATTGTTAAAAAAAAAAGAAAAAAGGATGCCATTAGTAGGAACCCTGGAATAAAGTCATTTTTGCTCCCACCAAAGCTGGATAATCAATGTCACTTTATATGCCCATCCAAAGTTGATGGGACAGAAGAGCGGACCGAGAACTATTTCCTCTCCCAGTTCATGAGAAAACATGGCTTTCAAGCATAATTTTGTACAATTTCAGTTACAGTCCCTCAATACAATAATTGCATTTTTTGTTCGCTATTATAGATTTTGCCATAAGCCTAGTTTGAAAGATTGCAATTGATTTGATTACTTGTGTTGCTTGATGAGAAACGCAATTGTGAGAGGTTAGGAAAAAAACCTATTTAGGGGAGACGCCTCAACCAGTCTGGATATGCGACCTTCAATTTTAAGATTGGTCACAAAGGCTGGGTAACTCTAGCAGTTGAAGCATGAATGCAGCACAATCAAAAGCATGAAAGCAATTGGGGGGAAAATGACATTGGGTCACCTTGTTTAGCCCATCCAGTCAAATCTCCATGGCCAGGATGAGAAAAGCCTTCTATATCCACAGCAAGCTCTTTGTAAATATTTTCCAGGCTACAAAGAAAAACAAGTTTTTTCCTCCTAAGTCTCAGACACTCTATGTCTTCACACAATATAGACTCAACAGTCGACTGTTCCAAAGAATGCTATAACAACATGGCGCCCCTGAACCTAACAGAACGTGGCCACAGCTGAGCCTACCTGGGTGGAGGGGGAACCGGTCTCTGGACGCTGAAGCAGAGCCCGTGAGCTTGATTGGGCCCGTGATATGGATCTTGGCCCAAAATGACAACTTTCACCTGAAAGCAAGAGCAGAAAATACTGAAACACTCCACATTTGTTATTTCTGTTCTCAGATAATTTTTGTCTAGATTTATGCTTCTATTTGATGAGACAGAAAATTCTTTCTTTTAATAGTATTCCAAAAAAGCAGCAAATGGCATTACATAAAATACAGAGAGACTAGTCAGGGTGACAGGCATTATGAGTTACAAAGCTGAGTTGCATTAAGGCAGGGTTTGCTTAAACATGAATGACTGAAAAAAAATCACAATGGCTACCTGTGTCAGGTGAACCCAGCTAATAACCAAGGGTAAACACCCAAAGATAACACCACCCATGCGTAAAGGAACAAGAGGATAAATACAGACTAATTGCAACAGGTTGACTTACATCATGGATGTCACACAGCTGGGTCCAAGAGAAGACCTGATGCTGGGGTGGATAAACTGTACAGCGCTTGCGTTCTTCAGCAACAAATGCCATCAGCTATATAAAGAGGAGAAAAATTGACCTGGAGCTCAACGAAAGGTCATAACAAACTAAGGAGACATGACATTCCATAACATGCACCGAAACAGTCTTTGCCCCCTGATGGTGTTCAGTACTCTCATCCCAAATTCTGCTGGAAATGAATTACTGTGTCATACCCAGGCATCTCAGATTTTATCAAAACATGGCTCTTAAAACGTTCAGCACCATTAAAAAAGGTCTACAAACCAACTGACCTAGTGGTCTGGTAGCCTTTGAGGATGGACTGCTGAGCTAAAAGCACTTGTCTAACCTTGTATCAGCAGGAACAGGCTAAATTTCACCCTCAATAATTAACAAGCACCGCTTCTCTTTAATTAGCTGGACTAAGATCTCAAAGCCAAGAAAATGGGGAGGGGGGGGGACCTGATCCCTTCGCAAAAGTCCTGGCTTCTCGCCCACCTGAGCAAAATACGGTTTGGAGAACTCTTTGGCCAGGGAGACCCTCCAGCTCTGCCCCAGCTCCGCGGGAATGTAGCTGGCGGTGCGGGCTGCGAGCTTCTGCAACGCCACCTCTTTGTTTTTGCGGATGCGCTCCACCAGTTCCGGGCTAAGCGGGGGAGATCGCGGCGAGCAGCCATCAGTCTTCGATCTTTTGGCGGCCTGCAAGAGGGAAAAGGAACGGGTCAGGAGCGGGGGCGGGGGAGCAGGGAAGAGGCAGCGGGGAGACGACCACATTCCCAAGGCCGCCGCCATGGAGGCGAGGCAACCGCAGCCGCCTCTCCGGCACTTCCGGCCCCGCAGAAACACGTGCACATTTCGCGGGAAAAACAAACCCAGCGTGGCGCCCAAGCTCCTTAATTAGCCTGAAGACACCGCCCCTTCGCCTTACTCTATTGGTCTACGTCCATTGTTTCCTTGGCCCGCCTCGTCCTCTAATTGGATTGCGGGTAGAAGAGGGTTACCCTTGTGACCAATCGGGAGCAATATTTCGAGCTAAGATCCGCCCCTCTCTTGGATTGCTAAAGCATGGATTCTCATTGGTT